ACAAAACTCTAATCAACAACTTCAATGATGCTTGTTTAACAGATTAAACAAAACTCTCATCAACAACTTCAATGATGCTTGTTTAACAGATTAAACAAAACTCTCATCAACAACTTCAATGATGCTTGTTTAACAGATTAAACAAAACTCTCATCAGAAACGTTTTTGATTTCTTCTATAATCTTCAAGAATTAACATTATTAAAAGGCTTTGCCAAATCTTGAGACCAGCTTCCATTGCACCTAAAAAGTACCCACATATCTGTTAATGTTTTAAAAAGTTTTACATACAAAAACAAAAGACTCCATTCACAAAAAACACTGGCACTGTATTTGAACTTTCAATAAATATTTAAATACTATAAAGTCCAAATTTATACAATTCTACAAAGACTATTCAATTTTTGCCAACAGACACCCACATCAGCAAAGAGGCCTTTGGTTGCTGAGACCTGACTGAAATGGTGGTGCTGATAGTTTCTTTACAAAATTGTACATTGCATAAAAAGAACTGTACGACTGCTTGACTTATAAATCATTATAAAGATTAAATTGCACATGAGTATTTGTTATGTCTAGAACATACAACTTGAACAAAATGGAAACCTGTGTCACAAATTTTCTTGCGACAAGAGAGGGACAATCCCCGCTCACAAGTTTCTAAATGTGAGAAATATCCCCTGAACACTTTGTTGGTAGGTTGCTCATTCAGTAGTTAGTATGCATTAGGGATTGAACAAACGTTATTAATTGATCATTAATTGTTCGGCATTTCCTTCCAGTAATTATATTGGAGTTAACATGATCATTAATTGTTTGGCATTTCCTTCCAGTAATTACATTGGAGTTAACATGATCATTAGTTACCTTAAATTGTGTGTCCAGTAACTACTTTGGAATAAATAAACTTTTATATCTTTATTAACAACTTACAATTAGACAATGATTAAGTTGAACTGTGATCATTAATATTTTATAAAGATATGATAAAGTTACACTTCTCACCAGTCTTTCTCCAGATAAAACTTCCAAAAGTGCGAGCAGCTTCGTTCCGTCTCTCAGGTCATTCAGTAACTTCTCGATTCTGTAAGGTGGTGCATGCTACCAACAAGATAATCACTCATAGTAAGTTGTGAATGAAACATTAATAATTAACTAATAACCAGCTCAAATGGTTGTTTTGACTCATTATTAAAGTATAACATACATCATGTGCAATATAACCCAGTAAGAAAACTTCAAATTTAGTTGCACACTTATATTTTAAGGTCAGTTAGTCTGGTTAGAAATCTTACTTTATCAATATTTTTTGTTATGATTTACCCTCAGTACCTTGTAAATACAAAGTGTAATAATTCTACTCAGAAAAAGTAGTAGTACATATAATTCAAATCAGTAGCACATATAATATAGTAGTACATATAATTTATATCAGTAGCACATATAATATAGTAGTACATATAATTTATATCAGTAGCACATATAATATAGTAGTACATATAATTTATGTCACTAGCACATATATAGTAGTACATATAATTTATGTCACTAGCACATATAATATAGTAGTACATATAATTTATGTCACTAGAACATATATAGTAGTACATATAATTTATATCAGTAGCACATATAATATAGAAGTACATATAATTTATGTCACTAGCACATATAGTAGTACATATAATTTATATCATTAGCACATATATAGTAGTACATATAATTTACATCAGTAGCACATATAATATAGTAGTACATATAATTTATATCACTAGCACATATATAGTAGTACATATAATTTATATCACTAGCACATATATAGTAGTACATATAATATAGTAGTACATATAATTTATATCACTAGCACATATATAGTAGTACATATAATATAGTAGTACATATAATTTATATCACTAGCACATATAGTAGTACATATAATTTATATCACTAACACATATATAGTAGTACATATAATTTATATCAGTAGCACATATAATATAGAAGTACATATAATTTATATCACTAGCACATATATAGTAGTACATATAATTTATATCACTAGCACATATATAGTAGTACATATAATTTATATCACTAACACATATATAGTAGTACATATAATATAGTAGTACATGTAATTTATGTTAGTAGCACTCGAATGCCCTTGGGAAATTCAAATTTGCAAAATTCTCCACCAGCTTCAATGCGCCCTCTATCTAGTTACTGTATATAAGCACCTCATCCAAATAATGTAATCACTTTTTCAGGACATAAACCAGTTTTTAGTAGGGTGTTAGAGTGTCAGCAGAGGTAAGTATTCTATAACTTCTAAAACATACTTAGCTCTGCTGCCAGTTATAGCTAGAATCCCACATTGAGAAGGTGGAGGTGCCGGTGCAGGCATGAACCATACAGAAAGAGTCTGTATAGAACAGAAGTGTACCAAGATAAAGATGGAACAAGAGTGGGGGAACCACACTACATCCAGAACACATATGCTCTTCACCAGGAATTCAGTTCCTATAACAAAGGTGGAATAGAATATGAATAATCATTAGTACAGGCCAGCCCCAACAAGATAGCCAAGGTTCCACAACTCAGGGTTGGAATTAAGGGGTCGTGGTACCTATATCCCACGTTGGTGGCTAAGGGCTATTGGACTGCAATATTATATACACACACACACATACATACATATATATATACTTTTGATTGGATCCCAACCTCTAGCTATGGACTGAAGTGTTTTGCACCATCAGAATTACAAAGAGAAAGTAAGCAACACTGAAGTGGACAAACTTTCTTCTCCACGTGTAGAAGTCCAAAAGGCAATACCCCAGGATCAGAATGATAGGATCGTGTATGCTGTACACAACCAAAGGAACAGAACTCATCAAGTATGGAATTATGAACATTCATCCTCACTCCCCAACCAAGTGTGCAAGAAATATTCCGCTTGCCCCTGGAATTATGGAGAGGACATGGAACCTGTGCTTAACCAAGGACCTAGGATGGGACCACTTCGCATTTGGAGTTATGAGGAGATAGTGGACCTCCTTCCACGAACAATATAATAAATCAACATTGATCAAAGAGAAGGTCCATGCATCCACAAACTGGATAGCTTTGCATCAAGTCTGAACCAGAATTATGAGTAGGCTCCTGCGGAGGTTGGTGCAACTCCTACTGACATCTGGGAAAAACATCCAGGGATCTGAGTAGGAGGGCCCCCAACTTCACCCTCTTCTCCAAGAGTAGAGGAACACATTCAAACACTCAGGAGGAAAAACCTCTGTCTGCCACCCCAGCGACTGGAAAGTGGAGGTAGTAAGGACTCCTGAGCTCCATTATTAAAGTCTGAAAAGGTCGTTTGGGTCAAAGAATACAAAAGGATTTAAGAAGATCTGATAGTACTGTGGATTCAAAAACCTTCTGATATTTTAAATATTGAAAAATAGTGGATAAGGCTGCTTTATATAAAGATACCGTAGACAAAGCAAGACTCCTCTCATATACCCAAGTCATAAAATGGGATATGGTAGATACTTTATGATGAAGAGGGTATAAATTCCTTTTAATACACCACTGACTATAAGTATTCCATTTCTGTTGATAAACTGTGGTTGGCCTACAGGGAGATTTAGTTAAATACAGAGAAACCTTAGAAGTTAAACCCTTATGTTGGGGAAAGGACCACATAACTTCCAAGCATGGATATTGAGCTTCCAAACATCTGGGTGGAGAATGTCTGATCAAGGTTGTCTTAACAGAGACTGCCAATGTGAAAAAGATAGAGGTGGACATTCCTGCAGATACTGAAGAAGCATAATCACATTTGAGCTAACCAATATGGTGCAACCAAAAGAACTCAACAGGGAGATGAATAAACCATAGTCAGATCCCGGGACAACAGCTGAATTGGAGGAAAGGCATACAGATGTAAACCTGTCCAGTCCTGACTGAATGCATCTTCTGCCAATTCTTGAGGTATCAGAGACCAAAATAATTGCAGTTAAAAATTCCAATGAGTTTATAAGGCATTGATCAGTGGAGACCTGAACTGAGAGTAAATCCACTGAAAAACCTTGTAATGTAGGATTCATTCCATCAGAAGAATCCGGTTGGGTCGAGAAAAGTAATCTGCAATTAAATTCATCACTCCAAGGTACAAAAACAAAGGTCTCAAGAATGTGTGCCTCCTTTATAAGAAATTTGAGATACCACAGTAGAATTATTGGAATGTATCATGACAATTTTTCCGTTCAAGAGAGATAGATCTTGAACCATTGCCTGGTGTACTGCAAGTAGTTTGAGGATGTTGATATGGATGATAGACTCGTCTTCCATCCAGATACCCTGGAACTCCTGACCTTGAAGATAAGCTCCACATCCCTGAAGAGATGCGTCTGTAAACAGATGGATCTCGGGACGAGGTGGTGGAATGGTTACCACAATAGTAGTGTTGTTCCAATCCAACCACCATTTGCAGTCAACGATGTTGCACCTGAGCAATGAGACAGGATGATCCAAAGGATCAGAATGCATGACTCACTGGTCACGCAGTGACTACTGAAGGGACTTTATATGTGCTTGCCCCCAAGGAATGAGAGACTCAAGGGATGCCCACATCCCCAAAAGAGAGAGAACCACCTGCACAGTGGTAGAAGGAGACATAAGTAAAAGCCTGATGGCTCTTTCCATTCCTTGAAGCCTGGTAGGGGTTGATTGAGCACAACTTAAGTGAGTATTGAAAAACATATCCAGATCAACGAGATATTGCATCGGTGACAATAGATTTCTTCAGTCTGATAAGAAAGCCTACTTTTATGGCTTCTGAAAGGATAATCTGAGTGTTGTTCTGCTAATTGATGAAAGGGTGCCAAAAGGAGCCAGTCGTCCATATAATGGTGTGTGTACAGGCCCAAGGAATGCAGAAGACGAGAAAAGGCTAGAACAACTCTGCAGAAGACATAAGGTGCTGATGCAAGACCAAAAGGTAGAGCCCTGAACTGCAGAACCTGACCCTTGTGTACAAATTTGAGAAACCTCCAGGATGATTTCACTATAGGAATATGTAGATAAGTGTCGGTAACATCGAATTTGGTGCAAAGTGTCATCTTAGGTTGAGAAAAGATTTCACTGTAAATCGAGGAGGATCTAAAAATTGGTTGAGTCGAGGCAAATCAATGATTGGACGCCAATCTTCTGTCTTCTTGGGTACAATGAATAAATGGGAATAAAATTCTGGAAGAACAGGATTGACCCTCTCTACTGACCTTTTGACTAACAAGTCTCTTATGGCCTGGGAACAAAGTTCTACTTGCCATGGATCTGTTGGAGGTGAAAAGGCAACAGATAATGGTGGAAGTGATGTAAACTGAATGACCAGCTCTGAAGCCAGAACATGGAGAACCCATGGGTCCTGGGTGAAAGAACTCCAGATGTCCAGAAAGTGATGTAATCATGCTCACACTGCTTTCCTACCCACAGGATAGTCACCGACACCATTGTCAATGGTCCACCCGAGCCAAAGATCCTTGAGAATACGGACAGACTCTATTGTGGGAAACAATACACCTGAGAACTGAAGGAGATGAGGTCAGGAAATACTACGATCCAACACTCCCAAATTAATGCGAGAAAGACGAGAAGCCAACGACAATAAAAAAGAATGAAAATGAGCTGAATCAATTCATGATTCTAACTTCTCTGGAACTCTGGCAAACAACATGGGATGGAGAAAAGGAGCTTCCTGTAACTCCCTGAGGACAGAAGATGGTAAACAAACATTTTCTAAAAAAGCATCTCTACTCAATAAATTACAACAACAAACCAGTCAGGAAACCAGAGAAAGAGCTGAAGAAGACAACCTGACTGAGGTAGATGTTAGGAAAGTCCCCAACTCATCCTCAAAGTGTTGAGGGGAACGTTGATAGACTTCTGACAAAAGTTGGATCAAAGATAAATACCTCAAGACAGTAGTAAGACAAATCCGAGCAAACTGTGATCCATTTAAAGTGATCACAGGTTCCAAACTAGACTCCCACAGGTCCAAAAGGGGGGCCATCTGTTGAGAATCTAAATATACTTCCTCCTGGCGGTGATAAGCCAAAGCATGCTGTTCCGATAAACGTGGGGGTGACAAGGCCTGGCTATTCCGTCACGTAACTGAGTGGCAAATCTCCCAGCATGAACAGCAATATCAGGAGAAGGAGGAAAAACAAGTAGTCACTTGTTCTTGCTGCCAACAAGGAAGGGGTAGAGTCAAGTGATCACTTGTCATCCTTCCTACCAACAAGGAAGGGGTAGAGTCAAGTAGTCACTTGTCGTCCTTCTTGCCAACAAGGAAGGAGGAAAAACCAAGTAGTCACTTGTCATCCTTCCTGCCAAGAAGGAAAGGGTAGAGACAAGTGG